TTTATTTCGTCATACTGATCGCTCATGAAGTTTTGACTACGCTTTATTGAATTTATTTGATGCTCCATGCTCTTCAGTCGGTCCTTCATCTTAATGACACTAGCCTGTATGGAATTTAGCTGATCTAGTTTGTTGTCCATGCTGTCTAGTCGTTGAATTATACTTTGTAATAAATCAGAGTTCATCAATGGCGGAGGCTGCATTGGCTGCATATGAAATACAGGAGATGTGTGCTGGTAGTTTTGTTTGTTTGTTTTTTGGGGTTTTACGTCACATCGACACAGTATAGGTCATATCGCTACGTTCCAGCTTTACTGGTGGAGGAAGACCTCAGATGCCCGTCTGTGCATTATTTCAGGCACGAACGGGCACCTGAGTAGAACCACCGACGTTCTGTAAGCTAGCTGGATAGCTTCCTCACATGAAAGAATCCAAAGTCCCTGTCGGGATTCAAACCCACAGCGGTGAGGGGCAAGTGGTTTGAAGTCATCGACCTTAACCACTCGGCCACGGACGCCCCGTGTGCTGGTAGTAGTTAGGTGCTGAATACATAGGAGTCATTGGAGTCATTGGTGTTATAGGCGGTAACGCAGAAGATTGACCATTTTTGTGATGAAATATTATTACCGTTATTACTTGACGCTATTTTCTTTAACAAGTTATAATGGCGGGGGGCTCAAAGCAAAATCACGCAAATAAGCGAGGCGCTAATCAGCATCTTTTCGCTCCTTGCATTTGCCGTTTTATTTCTTTATTTTAAATCTCGCTCAGCGCCCCCGCGGGGTGAAGTTTTATTTATTAAACTTCATTCCGCGCCCCCGCTAATTAGCGACTTTTCGCTCCGATCCCCCGCCATTTTAACTTGTTAATTTTCGACTTTTCGCTTGGCGGGGTCGCGGAACGAAAACAAGAATGGCAAAAATTAGCCACCATTTATTTGTACTCATCTGCTGACTTTTATAACTTTTTCACTTTAATATTGAACATGAATTGTTCCAGAACATAAGTTGCTACAATATATCATAAAACATAAACGAAGTGTTGAAAACTCGTAAGTAACACATAGATCTATGGAAGGTACAGGGGATGACAGTAAAAGGATATGTTCTGCTATTTTAACGGAATAATTAACTGATGACCGCATATCGAGTGAGTGTACTATGCAAAAATACCCTGATTACAGAGTATTGTATCAAATTTGTTGGTCGATAAATAGTATGATTCCTCAGAGCATAATATATTACACATCTAAAATACTGGTACATAAGGATATTTCAAGTCATCTAAAACTTTTATCAAGGTATCGATAGCGCCAATCTTTAGGTCATTCGGTCTTGTACTTTAAAATTTAATGAGTCACTTTGGATACGTCAAAATTACGTCAGGTGAAGTACATTAAATAATCAGAGAAAATATACTTGATAATGACTTTTAAAGAGAGTGCAGTGCATTACAGCACCTGTTTCCCTTCAATACAATTACCTGAGTAATACACGGACTGTGCTCAAAGACGATAAAAGAAAAGGTCAGAAATATGAATGTTTCTAATGTACGATCACAATAACAACTCCGCTGGCAAGCGGCTCATTGAGTTCAAAACATACTTCACCCATTCTAAAAAACATTGTAACATGTGCATATAGGTTATTTGGCTGGTTTTTTACTTAAAAGTTGATGGTTCAAGGCAAAAGGATTTCGTCTATACAATGCTTTAAAATATTCGAAAGAAAATATTCAAAACATCAGTCACCATTTGGCTAATGTGGAATATTTCAGCGGTGGTTTGAAACTATTTTGGTACATTGGTCGAATATGACAAGTCAAATCCATAGGCCCAGGCCTATCGTTCCAAACGTTATGAAAATTCAGCCTTGCAGATTATTGTTGGGTGATTATTTCAACCATTTTATATTAAAATACATGTTTGTTATAATATTTCGGTTATTATTTAAGAGTTGGAAAATGTTTTGAGCAAAACTACACAAAGTTCCTATGCATGTTTATTTTTGGTGACAATACTATCTAAAATAAGCAAAATACTGTTTAGGAATAAAGTTAAACATTTGAATTATCATGCTTCTAAAATACAATTGGTTATTCTTTACAATGATTTTTCTCCCTTTTACAATTTTCTGCCGTGTAAACTATATTATAATGGATGGGAAACTAAATCTATCTTTTCTTGTTTAAGTGTCTATAAAAAGATGATGTTCTCAGGGTAAGTATTTTGCCGCTGGTTCTTGTTGTTGGGTCGTGTGGGTGTTGCGTTCATTGAACGCCGCCCTTCCTTGTTGATCTTGCGTATCATGTAAATTCCTCTACTTAATCTGAAACTTAAAACTGATAACAAAGAAATTGAATGCCAAAAATGGGAAGATTATTCCGATGTAACATATGTTGATGTTCACGGGGTTTTAAAATGTTTGATCTTTTGTTTATTACAAAAGTACTTTTTTCTATTAAAAACTTTGTTATTCCTCTACAAAGACGAAACTCTCCTATACTGAAATAGTAATAAACGGAATCTCTAAAGAGCGCCCAAAACGACAATGTTGAAAATGTTGCGGGCTTTGTTTGATTTAGCCTATTAATGAACGGTAATGAAAAGCGCAAGTTACCGTCCTTGCCTCCTAGCACCGGCTTTTAAAGCAGAATTCAACTTTTAAACATGGAATGGTGAAATTTTGAATTTAGAAACATCCGCAAATGTGTTTGTGAAGACGAATAATTAGTGGAGGAATAAAATACATTTTGTATTGAAAAAGACATGTTCAAGAAGCAGTGTGCTCAACTTTTCTCAGTACTTGATAGTATGGTTAAAGTTCAAAGCCGGGCATTTATTGATGATTGTGAAATGCTTTCTTCTTTTGATTTTTGTTTCTTTATTTAATTAAATAAAATTTTTACAGTTCCCGAATTAAATATTACGGAGTATGTTGATAATTTTTGAGAAAAATTACAAAAAATATGTAAGAAAGATTTTTTAGGTGAAAGGTAAACCTGCTCCTTAAAGAAATGCATTCTTGTTTCTAATAGTTGATCATGTATTTTAAGTTTAAAGTGAATATACTTGATAGTTTTTAGTTTAATATAAGAAGGGCATATTGAATTAGGGAGATATAGAAATAGGACCAAACATGTTTAAGTCTCTCCAAATATTACGCAGTGATATGAATAAAGAAACAAAAACAAAAGATTTGTAAATATAAATGAACCTTTCAAATTACGATACCAGGCCAGATTGTTAGTAATGTTCATGTAATTCAACCTATTTTTGTGCACTTAACATTTCCAAATATGTTTTACAGTAAATTGAAGATTGTAATTAAGTGTCATGTTTATCTCTATGTTGTTATATGTATTTAAAGTTTTGTCCGTCCACTTTATCTTTGTTAAATTATTTAATTTCATGAAATTTGCACTTTTCATGCCATTATGTGCATGCTTGTAAAATTGTAAATGACATAATACATATAGATTCTCATTCTTCTTCTTATATTTCTTCTTCAACGTGGCAGTGTTGTACGATATTTAATGATTTCACTTTGCAATATTTGACAGCAAATCTTACTTTACTTTCTAAACTTAATACGCATCAAATTCCTATTACCATTATATTAATTCATTCGACTGCATGTATTTAGTTGATACATAATTTATATTTGTTCGGTTGTGTTGGACGCTATATATTTGTAGACACACTCTTGAAATCCGCTCCTGGAACCAACCATTATTAAGGAATGTTTGTAAAACATCTTGATCAAGACAACAACTGGGCTTGCCTCTTATGGGGTTTGAACCCGCGCAGCCTGCCAACCTAAGATTACTAGTACGGTGTGTTTATCATTTCCGCCACTCTTATATGTAAAAACAATATTAAATAAGTTATGTTATATAGTTAAAAAAAGAAGCAGCTTTTCATGCTAGATTTATTCTTAAAGATTTAGTACATGTATAATAGCAAACTTTATAAAGCATGTCAGAGAAAAACTTCAATGTTTTTTGGGAAAAATTCAAAGGGCCCTTCTAAAGACCCTGGTACTTTAAAGGGTGTTCGGGTTGTCCCAAATGTGTCAAATTCTTTAATATGTAATCCTCCAGAACCCAAATTTTGCGTTGGGAATCTGCCCTAAAAAATTAAAAATTTAAAAACACCGGGATTTAAAAAGCATAAAAAACCGTTTCATTTTTGGGGATAATTGTTTTACATGTGTTTAAAAAAAAAAAAAAGATGTAAATCCCTTAAACATTTTTTTCAAAAAAGAAAATTTTGTATTGCTTCAAAAAGAGTTTTTTTACCATTTTTTTCAAAAATTTAAATTAACAGGGGAAATTTAGCGTGATTTTAAACCCAAAACCCCTTTTATACCCCGTATAGATAGATAGTTTTAATTTCCCCCAAAAGGGGAAAAGGGAAAAACAGTATTTACAGAATAATAATACAAATATAATACAATTTAATGATATGCAATTACATAATAGCAAAAATATATGATAACAGAAACAAAAATCATATATAACGGAATTCACACTACTTCTTAAAGCGATAAAATGTTGGTGGTCTTATCAGCATATATATAATTGATATATACGATATTAAAGTATTTCATTCTATGGACACATGCTTTTTTATTGATTTATCTTTTATCTAACAACAAAAATGTAAAAGAAAAATGACTACTACTAGTATATCCTTAAAATAATTGTAAGCATTTCTCCTTTATATAGCTTAAACGGCATCTAAACTAAAGCTTTTAAAGTCTGAAACACATTTAATTGATTTTTTTTAAAAATAATTACGGGAATGGGCATATAAGTCACATCATCTTAACAGAAGATATAGAGATATATAGTTAATATAAAGCTGCTAAAGTTTATCAAAGTTGTTTTTTTTTTTCATTTATCTTTAAAAAAAAAAGAAAATTCTTAAATTCATGAAAGTAAATACCGAGTGGTTAAAAAGTAAAGTTACTACGACAATAAACATGTTAAAAACTTACATGGATAGATTGCTGATTACAGGCCAGTAATATACCGGCTGACTGCTGATATGTTGAGTGATGGTCAAACACGGCCACGGGCTCATACTGTCCTAACTGATTACAGTTCTCCGTCACCTTTGTATAATATAAAACATAGAAAAAAGCAAAATTTTGACGATGAAGTTGATTAACATGTATTACGTCAATAAGTGTTCTGACCTGGAAATTATTAAACACATGACAAGTCTCTGGAACAGCCAGTTCAACTCAGATCAAAGTCACAAAGGTGTTCAGATTCCGAGCAATAGATTACAAGGCCGCAGCACAAACCATGCCGACACACTTGTAAATTCCTTATCTACTGACTTGTTAGGTTTCTATACAAATTACCTTTATTCCTCTTAGCCATAATGAAGGGTCTGGCGCGCTACAAAATGCGACAACGGCGGCGTCGGAGTCGTGGTTGGTAGACCCGGGGCATTTCAATGAAGTTTGTATACCAACGTTCTTCTTGTAGGCGATATCACTAAAAAGTGCGAGCTTGTTGCAACGGGAAGGTCGAGCCGTTGTAGTTGTCACTATAAAGACGAAAATTGTAAATCATGAATAATGTTTTCATAATAATCGTTAAATTTATATTGTATATTAAATCTGTTAAATTTATGCGATTGGGATATCTTTTGGGGTATTAACACAAATTATATCTAGAAACATAGTTCTGTATGAAATATTGTTAACAAGATCAACAAGGAAAGGTGGCGTTCACCACACGACCCAGTCGTTTACAGTTTAAAATCATATTTTCTTGTAATGTTGTATAGAATGATATAAACAAAACATCCATCATTATTTTTTAATCATAAATGAAAAATAAGCTATTATGATCGGTGAAACATTCGCGTCAAGTTTATATTTGTGGAAGGATATTTGTGTATTTTTGTTTTTTTACCATTTTGGTCATTTTTATCCCCTACTTAAGCCGGTGCTAGGGACACCGTCAATAGATGCACTCAATCATACCAAATCTGCAACATTTTGAATTTTGACGTGATCGCCGACGTAATATTTAAATTTACATTTTCTTATATATTTTTCTTTACAGAAAACAACATCACGTACGTCTGTCATACTTCTCCGTGACGTATGAAGGACATGGGCTAACGTTTGTGTTTGAATCATTGATGACGAAACCAACCTGTTGAAAATAAAAAAAAATCTCACATGTAAATACAAACAATATCAAACATAATAATTTTACATGTATATCATAATTATATAACTGGTTCTGCCACAATGACGGTTTTTGAAAATACGGATATCATTTTGTTTAACACCATAATGCGATAGGAATTCATTATATCATAATATACCTAAAATAAATTACCGAGGTTAAACTTGTTGCTTTTGGGGTTTATTTCAGTATCAACTCGAAAGTAACTTTTCTACGTTAATCATACTTGAATCGGCAGTAACGGAGCAACTTGTCTACGGTATATGTTTTCTTTGCGACCAATAAAAACAAACGCTTTTCTTAAGCTTTCGACGTTTAGTCTTCTTCATAAAAAATTGACGTTTATAAAATGACAAATGACGCAACGTCCGTTTAACTATACGCTAAACAGAACGTGACGTTTTTTGTTGTTGTTTTTGTTGTTTTGTTTTGATAATCAAGGATAATAATACCAGCCAAATCGGCAACATTCACCAATGAAAAAACATAGAATATGATCATCATTTTTAAATGTAATTTATGCCTAAGAAATACTTTCATTTTTATTTATCAAATGCTGTTTATTTGTGGTGTACTTTTATAGTTTCCATAGTTTCCGAAAAGTTACTTATTGGCCAATCTCATGAAACATCTATTCCATCTGGTTTGTTTGTTTTTTTCGTGGGAAGGGGTTACTACAGTTATAGTGATGAAGTATTTTGTATGGAAGTCAACATACTACTTTGCTTCACATTTTCCTTTACAACCATCTAACATGCTCAAAAACCTTATTCAAAGGTTATAAACTCATGCATGTTTGCTCTTCTAAAATAGTAAATATTTACTTGTTTCTGAGGCATAATGTGCCTTTGAATAAGAATTTTATATTTCCTGGACAAACAGTAAAAGTTTTATTTACTCTTATTAATTCATTAATCTGTTAAGAAGTGGAATCATTTAAAATTAAGTTCTATTTTATTTCTAAATGTCGTGCTTCATTTTATTTATTAATGTAATTTATCACACACCCGTGCCGATTTTGCGACTCCGTTAGCGTTATACTATAGGCGCGTCAATGAAAAATGACTCTTATTTCACTTTAAACGGTCTGTATATTGGGTATGCGATAAATAGAATATTAAATTCGTGTAAGTTCATTACTGAATTTATTGCACTCGTTGAATAAAATAATATTATGCTCGCCAGAGGCTCGCATAATATAATTTTATTCAACTCGTGCAATAAATTCAGTATTGAACTTACACTCATTCAATATCCTCTATGTTTTAGATAACGATGGCTATATAACGTTCCGTATATATGTGCTAAGATGGGTATATACCTGATGATAATGTAAGATAGGCAGATACCCAGGTGTATGAAACTTTTCTTGGTAATAAAAGATGGGTATATACCTGATGATAATGTAAGATAGGCAGATACCCAGGTGTATGAAACTTTTCTTGGTAATAAAAGATGGGTATATACCTGATGATAATGTAAGATAGGCAGATACCCAGGTGTATGAAACTTTTCTTGGTAATAAAAGATGTGTATATACCTGATGATAATGTAAGATAGGCAGATACCCAGCTGTATGAAACTTTTCTTGGTAATAAAAGATGGGTATATACCTGATGATAATGTAAGATAGGCAGATACCCAGGTGTATGAAACTTTTCTTGGTAATAAAAGATGGGTATATACCTGATGATAATGTAAGATAGGCAGATATCCAGGTGTATGAAACTTTTCTTGGTAATAAAAGATGGGTATATACCTGATGATAATGTAAGATAGGCAGATACCCAGGTGTATGAAACTTTTCTTAGGTAATAAAAGATGGGTATATACCTGATGATAATGTAAGATAGGCAGATACCCAGGTGTATGAAACTTTTCTTGGTAATAAAAGATGGGTATATACCTGATGATAATGTAAGATAGGCAGATACCCAGGTGTATGAAACTTTTCTTGGTAATAAAGTTTACAGTCTCCAAGGTACATGTTCCCTAGAGGAGTCGAATGAGTACTCGGTCGTTGAAAAATTATCAATTCATTATGCTGTGTACAAACACATTGTTGTTGCTGGGTGTGGACCGGTGAAGCGGGTGCCGGGGTTGGAATCTGAAACAGACCTGCTACTGGGTGTGTCCAAAGTAGTGATGCCAGGTACGGTAAAATAACCCAAATAATGTTGATACCAAACATTTGTACGCTGTTTTCTGAAACTGTTGTTTTCATACAGAATGTTAATATAAAAGTTACATGACTCCTTAATCAATCTGCATGCCTCCAGATGAACCAAAAATGTTTCAAGAAATATCAAACTTGAGCAAAATGTAAAAGTAAAAGTATTCATGATTTAAGTAATAATTTACATATTATGTGTAATTAATGCTTTTGCAGTATTATCGTTGGAATGTTAACCTCCTTTTTGTAATTTACGTTGATTGAAAATGCCGTTTCCAATGTGAAAATTACTTTCGTTTCACAATATTAATTTTAACTTTTAAATACATTTTCACTATTTTCATGAAAAATAGCTTGATACTGAGGGCATGCAGCTTTAAAGGAAAGCAAAGCTTGAAATAAGTATCCAATTTAGAAATAAATACAATATGTATTATAGTTCTAAGTAAGAACAAGAATATATACTAAAGGAAATGAAACGCACAACGCTTTGTATAAAATTGTTTTCACTATCAAAAAGGCATTACATTTCATACACGTTTGTTTTAAACTATAAATTACCGTAAATTAGACACCGGCATATTTTAAATTGATCAAGTCATAATGAAATAAATAACTTTTTTGTGAATAGACTGCTTATATAAATAATTTCATGGTTCCTAAAAAGATGTGTTTTGATTCCTAATTTTCAAAACTGTTACATTAATTGTTTTCGTAGTTTTTCAGTGGTTTAAAATGCTGCAAAGTTTTGACGGACTAGTGTACATACAGCGTTGGATTTTTTTTATATTTTCAAATGTCATGTTACAAATGTTTTATCAACCATTGGACGGAAACCTTTTTAATTTGTTTTCCTATAAAAACACATGTGCGTTTTCAAAGTCCTTCAGTATACTGTATATTATTACTGGTTTTCCTTGAAGAAAACTATATGTATTTTCATCTCTAATGATAATTAATGCTTACCCCGTGTATCCCTTAGACAAGACTTCGTGTCTACGTGTAAATTTGGCTGTGATATGGTGGCTGATTTGTTCACTCCGCGCCCCCGCCATTTTAACTTGTTAATTTTCGACTTTTCGCTTGGCGGGGTCGCGGGGCGAAAACACGAATGGCGCAAATCAGCCACCATACTGTGACGCAGTATGTTAAACTTGTTTCATTTCTCATCACTAAATATCAACAAGTAAACTACGTGTATATGCAACACATAGATTCACATATTAGTTAATTTGAAAGTCACTACATTTAATACCCTAAAATTAACTTGATTAATTATTATATCATTTTTAATATAAGAGAATCTATACGTATATGCACGTGTACAAAATATAAATTTTACAACAGCACAATTTTTGTTTAAAAAAATGATTATATCACTTTAAAAGACAGTTTATTCTCACCTAAATCTCGATAAAGGTTCCCAAATTTTCACCGTGAGAAAATTATAAAATAGATAAGAATACGATGCGTACAGTACTGTTGACTCGTTGTATGGAAGGCCGTTGTGGCAAAATTGTAACAGTTATTCGTTGACCCACGTGTTTATGACTTTGGTAGACCACGATGTGGCGGTAAATTCATTTGGCTAACTGCGGTTATCCGGAGCGAAAACTACCAACACTGAGATTGGTAGGCCACTTAAACAACTATACTTAAATCTATTGTCCATTATTTATGGCCTTAACCCTTTCCCCCATGAGCATATTGTGAAAAATGGCCGTTTTCACTGAAAAGCCTCCTGTTACAAGTTCAAACTGCTATGAAACTCTGAAAAATGCTTCAATACTAATCAAACTTGGCACAAATGTGGACTGGACCATTGCCTTTGTAACGACATGCTCAGTCTTAAATTTCCTGTTACCATGGCAACGAGGGGACATCTCAAAATTGCCAAAAATCACTATTTTGCCTCGATTTTTTCCATCAAAATTTATTTCAAAGTGCTGCAACTTCTCAAGGGATTGAGATAGAGTCAAAGGCTTTTCAGCGTTGGTTAAACGTTACATTATGGTCGACCTGGGGTCATTTTTAGCCTCTCACAAGTCCAAAATTTTCTTGGCGATGAGGGGGACTCCGCCCCCCTTCAAACCCCCCTAACAGAAGGGGGCACATCCCCCTTCTGGCAACCCCCTGATGTATCTTTTGGATGGGGGGCGGCGCCGAAAAAGTGCTCAATTTTTTTAGCAACATTTCTCAAACGAAAACTTATGTTTAGGGCCCAAATAGGACATTTTTTCACTATTTGAGGCCCCAAAAAGGGGGGGGGGGTCGAAAGTGCGTTGTTTCGCGTATATATGTGGTAAAGGGTTAACAAAAAATGATGAAAAACTTTGGAATCACCTAAAAACTAGTTTTTCCATGTTAACATGTGGTCTTTCACCTAATTTTGGTGAAAAATTGTGGTTTTGTAACTTTTTTTTTTTTTTTTAGTTAACCCTTTCCCCCATGAGCATATTGTGAAAAATGGCCGTTTTCACTGAAAAGCCTCCTGTTACAAGTTCAAACTGCTATGAAACTATGAAAAATGCTTCAATACTAATCAAACTTGGCACAAATGTTGACTGGACCATTGCCTTTGTAACGACATGCTCAGTCTTAAATTTCCTGTTACCATGGCAACGAGGGGACATCTCAAAATTGCCAAAAATCACTATTTTGCCTCGATTTTTTCCATCAAAATTTATTTCAAAGTGCTGCAACTTCTCAAGGGATTGAGATAGAGTCAAAGGCTTTTCAGCGTTGGTTAAACGTTACATTATGGTCGACCTGGGGTCATTTTTAGCCTCTCACAAGTCTAAAATTTTCTTGGCGATGAGGGGGACTCCGCCCCCCTTCAAACCCCCCTAACAGAAGGGGGCACATCCCCCTTCTGGCAACCCCCTGATGTATCTTTTGGATGGGGGGCGGCGCCGAAAAAGTGCTCAATTTTTTTAGCAACATTTCTCAAACGAAAACTTATGTTTAGGGCCCAAATAGGACATTTTTTCACTATTTGAGGCCCCAAAAAGGGGGGGGGGGGTCGAAAGTGCGTTGTTTCGCGTATATATGTGGTAAAGGGTTAATTGATATTAATCAGCAAATAAGCGGAAAGTTTACTACGATGCCATGTCATTACTGCAGTAATTTGCTTTCTTTGTGAGTTATGATGAGGTCTTAATTTTGAAACACAGTCTTAATGAGATTGTACTCCGTCAGCTTACTGCGGATGAAGTTTTTAATTCCCCGATGACTAATACTGGCTGACTGGACAAAAATACCCCGTATCTAAATCCCAGTTTCTTTATCACTTTAATAATTATATTTATTTTAACTGGGAATCCGTTAAGAGAAATCAATAAAACATTGCTATATACTTAAATATAGGTCTCCATCTATTTGGGGGAAAAAATACAGTACTGTATAAAAAATAAAAATTGAATCGCCATTATAATATAGTTGTTGTAAATACCGGAATAATCCAAGAACTCTAAAGACAACCCCATATGAGATTCTTGCTTAATAATGTAGTAGGTTTGGTGATATTGCTCCTGTTAAATAAATCGAAATTGTTCCATTTTAAAATATTTCACTTTTCCTTACGAATTATTGACCGTGACAGGACAGGCTTTATCACGAGTGTGTTTGTTGTTGTCTATTTTTAGAATTACGTACCATCACATGACAATAAGATAAAATCTCCCTACGCATGATTCAAACTTTTAAATGCTAGGAGTCTAGTGTCAACAACTATTTCCTTTTACTTAGTTTAGTTTCAAACACAGTGATAAAACATAAGTTAAATTTTAAGAGTCTTCCTTACCAATTTTTTTCAACCACTTACAAGAACTATATTCAGTTCGCAAGAAAATAGTTCGTTTTTCAGGAAATGCATAATTAGGCAAAAGGTGTAAACAAACCTTGCAACAAAATTTGACATCTCACAACAAACAAAGAAATTTACAGAGTATAAGGAACTGCTAGCAACAAAATGAAGTGGGAATATAAAGAAGAACACCCCTTTGAGAAAAGGAGGGCGGAGGGTGAAAAGATCCGCAAGAAGTACCCAGACAGAGTGCCAGTAAATATTGCTAATTTATTTTCAATCTTTTGCGCAGCCATTTTCGTTTTCGATGTTGATTACTTTAACTTTCAGGAGCAAGATGGTCGTAGATTTGTTAAGAGTACAGTGGATTCAAATATACACCTAGTCATTAGGAAATAATAAGAATAAGGTGGAACGGGGAAGTTCAAAATATTTTGTGGAAAAAAAAAACATATGATGACCTTCCTGCTTTATAATTTTTGTGTCCAGGAAATTATTTACCAATGATAGGGAGATTTATATCCTTTATGACACTAATTAAGATAGCAGGCACTTTAGTACGTTTGTTAATCAACAGATTGTTTTTCAGAGACCTGATGTGGCCTTCATTTTATGAATATTATGATACAAAGACAAGATCAAAAAAAAAATATAATTTTCACTTATGTAGTGGCTAACTGTATTGATTGATTGATTGATTTATTTGTATATATATATATATATATGTCATATTACAAAACAAATTAAGACAATTTAACACAGATATATCTATCACATTGTTTTTAACACAGTAATTAATTGAAAAATAATAACTTTACATTCATAAAATCAAAGATCTTGTTGACTTCAAGACAATATAAAATAGAGAACTAATTATTCCAATGGGGTCCTTTGATGTATGGGCGCGTATTGCTAGCCAAAAGTTCTATTCGTGTGTGAGACATGTTTAACTAGCCTCTAAGTACTGTTTAGACTTGTGTTCTTTAAAGATTTTATTGAATATCATGAAAACTTTTGTCACAGCTCAGAACTGATTACTATTTACTAATTTAGGGGAGATGATCTGAAAGCACCCGGTCAGGCTGCATATTTTCTCACCCTGTGTAATTTGGCGCCCAACATGGGGCAGTGACTGCATGTAGGGCAGAGTTTAATTTACATTGCACTGTAACTCTGTGAAATTCAAGGATAAATTACAATTTAGCAGGGGAGTATGTCACAGTTCAGAACTGTTCACTTCTTAGGCGAGATGATTTGTAAGCAGCCGGATAGCTCAGTCGGTAAAGCTGCGGTACGGTATTCCAAGGGTCCTGGACTCCCTGGTTCAAGTGGCAGTCAGACTGCACATTTTTCTCACACTGTGACACTTTATCAGTTACTATTGTTACATTAATATTATAATGATAAATTTTTTGGCGTTTGATGATCAGAAATTTTTCATGTGAGAATCAGGGATTTTAATAATTAAAGTCTGTGCGAAAGTACAAAGAGAAATAAGCTGAAACATTATTTTATCACTTCTTTCGACAATGTATATATATGTAATACATTTGTATTAAAATAAAATTCTTTATTTGATCTATTTTAGCTGGCATTGAACTTTTTCTTTTAATGATGCAGCCTTTTTTCATGATATCTGGTCAATCACAGACTTTAATTGACTTGACATTAAAGTATGTGGGTCTATTTCCTTATAACAAAATATTTTTAACAATTATAAATTGTAAATAACACTAGTTAAATTTACGTCAGCTTACGAAAACTAATTAAAATAACAGATTTATCTGATATCTTGTCATAATATAATTGGCCGAATATCATATGTTGAAATTATTTAGAAAAATCATTCTTTGTGAAATTGTAATTTAAGACATGTATGCAAGTTACTGACATCATCATTGCATGGTTTTTGAATTAATGTCGCAGGACTAGTCTAACCAGTGCATATAGGCTAAACTCATGTACAGCTAGAACTTTTAGCCAGCAGTATGGCCCATACGGCTAGCCATTTCCTTTCAATGAATCAAATAACTTCAATTCAATTGCATTTAATTATGGCACCACAATGCTTTGATCATAAACCAGTCTGTAGATCGTGACTGATTATTAAGCGATTACTTATGTACATTTCTCATTGAAATGTTGTTTCCCAAATTCCTTGTAAACATAACATCAGTGATGGGTAATCTATTTCTGGCAGTGGAATCACGGCTTGTTTAAAGTTTAACAAGCTACAAGCCTTCTTCACAAGTGAGGCAAACAACTTTTAACGTAATGTTGTAACTTAATTAAACCAGATAAATAAACATACAGTTTGTTTCCTTTTCATAGGTCATTGTAGAGAAGGCACCAAAGGCAAGAGTAGGTGATCTTGACAAAAAGAAATATCTTGTTCCATCAGATCTGACTGTGGGCCAGTTTTACTTTCTCATCAGAAAGAGAATACATCTGCGACCAGAGGACGCTCTCTTCTTCTTTGTGAATAATGTGATACCCCCAACTAGTGCAACAATGGGATCTCTTTACCAGGTATGATTTCCAACTTTTCTTTATGACTATTTCATTTCCATTTTACGGTCCATTTCTATCTATTTATTTTTGATTTTAAAGTCAAATTTAATATTTTCCATATCAAAAGGGCAGATAATCTTATCAAGACAAGTGCTGGCAGTGTTATCTGTGAAATAATGACCACCAACATTTTCTTCTAATTGAGAGTCAAAACTCTGATCCGGATAAGGTTGTTATGCCCCTGTTAAAACCTTTTGCAACAGTATGCCTAAATAAATGTCTTAATAATGTCTTTATATGTTTGAATGGGGTTGGGGAGGGGATAGCTAAGCAAGATTTAATGTTTCAAGTTGAACTGTGTAGCTGAATATTTGAAGGGGAAAAAAATATACTTTTCATAGAGAATACTTTCATCATTTGCTCTGCTATGAAATTTATTTATATACAGTTTATATGCAGTTGACCCTTATCCTGCAAGAACGGAAAATGATTTTCCGCCAGTATATAGCCAGCCCATCCTGCATGTCCATGCAGTCTGTACTTTGGCTGACTTAGAATTAAAAAAAATGTTTCAAGTTAATATTTGAAATTGCGAATAACGCACATGATGACTTAAACATTTCAGCAGTCAGCTTCCGTTTCATTTCATCTTCTGTTTAATTTAATAAAGAAAGATGATTAGCCCTTAAATAACAATGAACATAGTTTTATTTTATGACATAAATATTAACCGCGGTGCAGGAGTGTAATAAAGACATTTAAATAACACTTTGATGTGACATCATTTGTGTCATATATAAACATAGCGTTTAAACGCACTAATGTGAGAGTTAGGCACATCATTGAAAAATTACTCTTTTAAACAGTTTATTGTTTTTATTTTATATATGTGATAAATAGAATATTAGATTCGTGTAAGTTTAATACTAAATTTATTGAACTCTTTGTATAAAACAATACTATGCTCACCAGAGGCTGGCTAGCATAATATGATTTTAGTTTAGCACATTCAATAACATCTATGTCTATTTTATTGATTTATTTATTTTATTATTCCAGGAACACCACGAGGAGGATTTCTTCCTATACATTGCATACAGTGACGAAAGTGTATATGGCGCTTAAATACCACGGGACACAACCATCTGTAATCATCTTCCATTTAATAAACAATTTATCTTTTACCCATACAAACTTTTAAACAGTTTATATCAATCAGCATTGTTGTTAATTAGTACTGGATTAATTTTTGATGACATCAGCAGACTTGGAAACTGGTTTTTTTTTGGGAAATTCATGAAAAAACTTTTCAACTGTTATTGTGATGCACTTGTGATACTGTTTCTGCTTTATTTTGCTATAATTAAATTATAATACATATATTTTTTATTTTGGTATTGTTTGATCTTGCAGTTGAGATTTAGGTGCAATATTATCTTGACAACAAAATGAAATATTCATTGTAACTTGGGGTGTTGGCCAAAAAAACTATATTAACAGTTTCTTTAATCCCAATTTGAGCAAAATTGCAATTGCTTAATTTGTGTGTAAGAAGACATTATTTTTTCAATGAAAGTAGTTCTTAAATAATTAGAAGCACCATATGATCTTTTGTTTGAAATTAACATGTTTTCTAAGGGAGGTAATTAAGATAATGTTACAAATATCTCAAAAGTTGTCTTTCATGCAATAATAAGCATTTTAAGGTAAAATATTAGCACAACCACTGATCTTCAAGTATCTCTATATTTGATAAGGTTAAAACCAAGTCTTGAAAAGGTTTGCATGAACCAATACGCAATTTTTTAATAATAATACCTTAGTTCTGAGGTTATACCTTGAATCAAATTACAAAATCATGAATTATTGTAATTTATGTAACATGGTTGTCATGGATACAATGTACCCTGACTCGCATGTTTATACCTCTAACAGACAGCCCTGTGTGTAACTCATTTCAATTCACCTGTGTAAACGGGGGATAAAGTTTTCAAAAGTAACTGAATTTTTACTTGAGGTAATAACACGCTGTATAGGACAATAAGAATTAGTGAAAGTTTAGAAATGAGCTTGATACTAACATCTTCGTCCTATACTCTGTAAATTTCAACAACTTTTACAGAGTAATCATTTTGAAAGTTGAAGAACGAATGAGTGAATTTATATATAAGGATTATTTTATTATATATGTATGTTTGAATGTCTTAATTTTATTATTGTAGACATTTATGTGTATTTATGAAACAGCAGAAAGTGTGCGAGAATAAAAGTGGTCTACGGAATATTGTTTTGTTAACTATACTAAAGTTGTATGGATGATTCGGGTTGTATGGAAGTTGGGGGGGATGTTTTATTTTATTGTTTTATGGTTTTATTTCAATATAAATGTTAAATTGTACGATTATTTTTCAGTTTATTAGATTCACCTATATCACTATGTAAATATAACTTTATCTATTATAAAACTAATAAAAATGTCTTTGTTCAGTCAAAATTTGAAAAAAAATAATCTGAAATTAGATTGATTGTTAAAAATTGAATCTTCTTAATCAGTAAACAGTACAAAGAAACTTTGGATTTTTAGCTCACCTGTCACAAAGTGACAGGGTGAGCTTTTGTGATCGCTTTTCGTCCGGCGTCCGGCGTCCGTCCGTCCGTCCGTAAACTTTTACTTTAAATGACATCTCCTCATAAACCACTGAGCCAATTTCATCCAAACTTCACAGGAATGTTCCTTTGGTGGTCACCTTTAAAAATTGTTCAAAGAATTTAATTCCATGCAAAACTCTGGTTGCCATGGCAACCAAAAGAAAAAACTTTAAATATCTTCTTTTAAAAAACCATAAGAGCTAGAGCTTAGATATTTGGCATGAAACATCTTCTAGTGAGTGTCTACCAAGTTTGTTCAAATAAAAGCCCTGGGGTCAAAATTGGCCCCGCCCCGGGGGGTCATTGATTTTCCCTATATGCATATAGTAAAAACTTAAAAAAATCTTCTTTTAAAGAACCCAAAGAGCTAGAGCTAAGATATTTAGCATGAAACATGTTCTAATGGGTGTCTACCAAGTTTGTTCAAATAAAAGCCCTAGGGTGAAAATTGGCCCCGCCCCGGGGGTCATTGATTTTCCCTATATGCATATAGTAAAAACTTAAAAAATCTTCTTTTAAAGAACTCAAAGAGCTAGAGCTTAGATATTTGGCATGAAACATCTTCTAGTGAGTGTCTACCAAGTTTGTTCAAATAAAAGCCCTGGGGTCAAAATTGGCCCCGCCCCGGGGGTCATTGATTTTCCCTATATGCATATAGTAAAAACTTAAAAAATCTTCTTTTAAAGAACCCAAAGAGCTAGAGCTAAGATATTTAGCATGAAACATGTTCTAATGGGTGTCTACCAAGTTTGTTCAAATAAAAGCCCTAGGGTGAAAATTGGCCCGCCCCGGGGTCATTGATTTTCCCTATATGCATATAGTAAAAACTTAAAAATCTTCTTTTAAAGAACTCAAAGAGCTAGAGCTTAGATATTTGGCATGAAACATCTTCTAGTGAGTGTCTACCAAGTTTGTTCAAATAAAAGCCCTGGGGTCAAAATTGGCCCCGCCCCTGGGGGTCATTGATTTTCCCTATATGCATATAGTAAAAACTTAAAAAATCTTCTTTTAAAGAACCAAAAGAGCTAGAGCTAAGATATTTAGCATGAAACATGTTCTAATAAGTGTCTACCAAGTTTGTTCAAATAAAAGCCCTGGGGTCAAAATTGGCCCCGCCCCGGGGGGGGTCATTGATTTTCCCTATATGCATATAGTTAAAACTTAAAAATCTTCTTTTAAAGAACTCAAAGAGCTAGAGCTTAGATATTTGGCATGAAACATCTTCTAGTGTGTGTCTACCAAGTTTGTTCAAATAAAAGCCCTGGGGTCAAAATTGGCCCCGCCCCTGGGGGTCATTGATTTTCCCTATATGCATATAGTAAAAACTTAAAAATCTTCTTTTAAAGAACCCAAAGAGCTAGAGCTAAGATATTTAGCATGAAACATGTTCTAATGGGTGTCTACCAAGTTTGTTCAAATAAAAGCCCTGGGGTCAAAATTGGCCCCGCCCCGGGGGTCATTGATTTTCCCTATATGCATATAGTAAAAACTTAAAAAATCTTCTTTTAAAAAACTCAAAGAGCTATGGCCAAGATATTGAGCATCAAACATGTTCTAATAGGTGTCTACCAAGTTTGTTCAAATACAAGCCCAGGGGTCAAAATTGGCCCCGCCCCGGGGTCATTGATTTTCTTTATATGTGTTTAGCAAAAACTTTAAATCTTCTTTGAAAAAACCCAATAGCTAGAGTTGAAATAAAATAAAAGCCCTGGGGTCAAAACTTGCCCGGCCCCAGGGGTGTCATTGTTTTTAACTATATGTGTATAGTAAAAACTTTAAAAAAATCTTCTTTTAAAAAGCCCAATGAGCTAGAGCTTAAATGTTTAGCATGAAACATCTTCTTATGGGTGTCTACCAAGTTTGTGCAAATAAAATCCCTTGGGTTAAATTGGCTCTGCAACGTTGGGGGGGGGGGGTTGGGGGGCCTATATACAGGTGAGCGACCTCAGGGCCATCATGGCCCTCTTGTTTATTATTTTTTTTTTGTGTGAAATTTGATGCCTTGATCTATGTACAATTGAACATGAATATTTTGGTTTATTTTTCCCTTCAATCTGATAGTAACCCGGTATAAATTACTTTTTTATAACAGTTTTCTTTTATTGTTTAATGTATAGTTTGACAGTGTTTTTTCTTGTAATATTGTCTTACATTGGTGTTAATAAACAATTTAAATGGTGTAGATTTTTTCTTATATTTTATAAGTCTGAGAATGGTCATGCATTGTTAAGTCATTTAAAATAGACAAATATTGGGGTTTTTTTGGACAATTTTTACATTTTTCATTCATTATCATACATAAATCGGTGTGAAAAGATGAATTACACCTTGTAAAGTTCATTCCGTTGGGTTAACAGGCAAGATGTTAGCATTTTATCATTCAAGCGCCTTGTCCAATATATACCGGAATTACGGTATTTAGTGTGGTGCTCCAATCCTTTTTTTAGTCTCACTCTTTTGGTTTTCTGTTATCTCAACTTTTCTGGGAGAAAAGATTAATTGAGGTACAGTCATGTCAGCATTGCCATCCGCTTTAACCATTGATCAGGTCAAATGTCTAAAATTTGCTTGACTTTTGCTATTAGTGGCTGTAATTATAACTGAGTAATTTTTTTAAGGGATTTTCTTCCAACTTGTACGCAACAATCTTTCAGGAGAGACCTTCAAGTTAACCAAACAGACTTTGACCTTCATCCATAAATGACATTGACCTTCAAGGTCAGATTTTTGAAATTTTCTTTCTCTTTTTCTGTAACTGGCTATAACCTTGTTATTAATGAATGGATTGACTTCAAATGAAGACGAAACTTTCTTCAAGAAAAGACCTTCATGCATAACAATCTCAAATTGACCTTAGCACATTTATGACCTTGACCTTGGAGGTTAAATTATTGAACTTTCACTGATTTTTGCTATAATTGACTGTAACTTGGTAATTATTGGATGGATTATCTTCATACTTGGCCAAAACAACCTTTTCGATGAGATATTGTGAAATTTTGAACTGACCTTGACCTGATCTTTAAGGTCAAATTAATTGACCTTTACCTTATCTTTAAGGTCAAATTGATGAATTTTGTTCAATTGTCATAGTTTTTGTAGTTTTTATTTATACTATGACAGAACAGGACTTGCTATCAAACAAACATATTGAATAATTTAGATGTGACCTTGACTTGTAATTGATCTTGACCATCAAGGCCAAATTTGTAAAACTCTCTTGTTTTTATGCCCCCTTCGAAGAAGAGGGGGTATATTGTTTTGCTAATGTCGGTCTGTCAGTCCGTCGGTAGACCACATGGTTTCCGCTTATTATCTTAAAACTATTTATTACAAAGTCTTCATATTTCACATAGTGATTGATCATAACTAGTAGATGATCCCTATTGATTTTGGGGTCACTAGGTCAAAGGTCAAGGTCACAAGGGCCTTAAATGTCAAAATGGTTTCCGCTGATTATCTTGCAAAGTATTTATCACAACGTCTTCATATTTCACATATTGATTGGTCATAACTAGTAGATGACCCTTATAGATATTTGGGTCACTAGGTCAAGGTCACATGGGCCTTAAATGTCAGAATGGTTTCCGCTGATTATCTTGAAAAATATTCATCACAAAGTCTTTATATTTCACGAATTGATTGGTCATAACTAGTAGATGACCCCTATTGATTTTGGGGTCAAAGGTTAATGTCACAGGGGCAAATGTCAAAATGGTTTCCGCTGATTATCGTGCAAAGTATTCATCACAAAGACTTCATATTTCACATATTGATTGCTTATAACTAGTAGATGACCCCTATTGATTTTAGGGTCACTAGGTCAAAGGTTAGGGACACAGGGGCCTTAAATGACACAATGTTTCCGCTTATTATCTTGAAAGCTATTTATCACAAAGTCTTCATATTTCCAATATTGATTGGTCATAACTATTAGGTGATCCCTATTGATTTTGGGTCACTAGTTCAAAGATCTAGGTCACAGGGGCCTTAAATGTCACATTATCTTGAAAACTATTTATGACAAGGTCTTCATTATTTTTCTTTTTTGCATAACTGAACACTTTCATGCTATGACATTGTTATTTTTAATTGGATTATTAAGACACAACATCTTTTAGGTCAAGACCTTCATGTATATCAAACTCAAATTGACATTGACTCCTGTATGACCTTGAAGGTCAAATTATTGAATTTTCACTGATTAATCACTGGATTATCTCAATACTTCGCCAAATCACCTGTTAGACAATACCTTCTAAAAGGTTGAAATGACCTTAGCTTTAAATGACATTGACTGATAAGCACAAATTATTGAATTCTTGTTATGTTGTCATAATTTTGTTATTTATGTAGGTACTTCATTCATACGTGGACAAAAAAACCTGTGACCAAACGAATTTGCATGACCTTGACCTTGACAATCAATGTCAGATGATTGAATTTTGCTAATATTTTCTTAACTTTGTCATTTATTTATGGAAATGATTCATACTTGGACGGAACAACAAGTGTGACGTACTAGTCAGACTTATTAAAATAAAAAAAGAAATCTTTTTTAAATAACCATTAATTTCATTTGTTTGCGTATTGAGGAAAATAATTTTGATCACTAAATTGTTTTTTAAACAAGGCCTATCAAAGTGTAAAGCCTTTACAACAATAATTTAGTTGTTACCCTGGTTCAAGCCTCCAAGCTAAAATGGTTCTGAAAGTGACACATATGTACAAATAACTCATTACACTTTATTTCGAGGAGGTAGGGGTTCGTGGCCGAATGGTTAAGGTCGTTGACTTCAGACAGGGACTTTGGATTCTATCATGTGAGAATGCTATCCAGCGGGCTAACAGAACGTCGGTGGTTCTACTCTGGTTTCCGTTCGTGTCTGAAATAAAGCACAGTGGGGCTGGTCAAGTATTTCCTAAACAGAATTAAGACGTCATGACCAATATCCTATACGTATTAAAGCTTGAAAGTCGCCAAAATATGACCTGTGTTGGTTGAACATACGGCATAACCAATTAAAATTAAAATCGAAGAGTTCAGAATTTAAATAGATATAGTCCTTGTCATACTACTGCTCTACTAAGATAAAATGGATAAGAAAATATTTATAAATTTACACATGTATCTCATTAGATATGATCGAGTCATTGTGATAAAAAATATCTTATAGTTGTTTTCAATGACGCAAATTTTCAAATTCTACAACTGATGTCAAGTGTTACAATCTACGATAGTTCACGGACAATAAAACTTCACTCAAATATGTTGGCATCATACATAATTGAACAGTAATTGTTGCTAAGAAAAAATACCTTGCAATGATTTGAGATATAGATGAAGTAAGTTCAGAAAGTATGATATCTGCTGGCTTAAAGTTGGATATAAATAAAAACATGTCGTTGCAATCTGTTTGGATGGAATCTCAAATGATATCAGACGTTTCCGTCAAAAAAGACTAAGCATGTATAATGCCTACCACATACTAAGTATGATTGACTTTTTTGGGGACAATGTTTTTTTAAATACAATTATAATACAGTATATTTTTCATCTCTGTCCAGAGTGAAAACATGATTCTTTTGACCACACATACATGTAGTTTTGACTGTAGAACTTTCTTTAGTTGTTCTATCCAAGGTTATCTGGCACCATTTTAATAGAATTTTGACATTTTATATATACACCCGAAGACCATCCGGACGTATTAATTACGGCATGGTGTCTGTAAACAGAACAAAAGAGAACAATAGATGTTATATATATTCTGTTACAATAGAATAAAGGACCAATTGCTCCCAAATAACAAATGCAATGGCTTCGTATCCAAATTTGGTCGCATGTCCGCCCATTCGTCCATTGGCGATTGCTGCAGCATAACTGATTGTTTTTTTATTTTGGCATGTATGTATGACTTGTATCAAAACACAAGTAGTTTCCATTTTTCGCTGCAGTCAACCCATTATGACAGTAATAGCATTATTTTCATTTGTATCATAGTTTGGAGACCTTTCTGTTGAAAATGTGTCAGGGTTAAATCGTATACATATACATGCACAGTGCGTTAACTGGAGTGCGGGTATTAGTTACCCGCACTCCAGAACATGCCCATTGATTGGTTCATTTTTGCTGGGGTTTACATATTGTGACGGCAGAGAAAGGGAAAGCGACAGAAATGTCATATTCAGATGTTCGTTCATTGGTTCATTTTTGCCGGGGTTTCATATTGTGACAACAGGGAACGTGCTTTTATGTTTGACTATGATACAAAAGAGAAAGAACACCAAAACACTCGGCAATCTGATTAATACTCGGGGGCTACGTACGCCCCCTCGTACAAATCAGATAGCCTCGTGTTTCGGTGCTCTTTCTATTACGTAGTTCATGTAGTAATTACCATATTATTATGGTGGCATATTTCTGCCACCAGATAACCATATAACTAACTAGTTAATTAAGAGGTTAACTAGTTACGTAACTAGTTAACCTCTTAATTAACTAGTTAGTTATCAGGTTAACTAGTTATGTAACTAGTTAACCTCTTAATTAACTAGTTAGGTATCAGGTTAACTAGTTACGTAACTAGTTAACCTCTTAATAAACTAGTTAGGTATCAGGTTAACTAGTTACGTAACTAGTTAACCTTTTAATTAACTAGTTAGTTATCAGGTTATCTGGTGGCAGAAATATGCCACCATAGTAATTATGTACGTAGTTCATATAATAGTTGCATGAGGCCGTAACATCTGTCAATGCCGCGGTGCTAGGCTTGGCTTCTTTGGTCGTCTTAGAGATTGTTTTCCTTTTTTGTTATTTCTCTTCCACTACTAGCGGTTCCCTACATATACATCGTTCTTTTTTCTTTTGATTATAGATCTCAGACTGGTAAAATTTACCTGAAGTGGCAGTGAATGCGTCATTACGGTCTCGTGCACGAGAATGCACGTGCAGTCAATATTTAAATTATTGACCGGCATAGTGACACACATAATTAAAACAACACATTATACCAAAACAGAATCATCAGAGTGACAAGTAGCACATTAAATTAACCAGAAAAAATATTTCAAAAACATGATTTGATTATCATAGAGTTGGGTTATGCCACAGCTACTGCAGTAGTACTTTATGAATATGATTTAATTATTTCTTAAAACGCTATGAACTCATCTTTTAACAGCAAAATGAAATCATAAATTTTATGTTTATTTCTTTTTTCTTTTTCTTTTTTTTGTTGTTGTTTTTTTGTTTTGTTTTAGTTGTTTGTTTTTTTTTTTGTTTTTTTGTTGTTTTTTTGTAGCTAGAAAATCGGTGAATTACCACAGACTTTACTTAAAGTCCGTGATTTTACCATCACGACTGTTTATAGATTATACGTATCTCTTCTAGACGATTCTGCTGATCTGTTATTTTCTGATGACATCTAGCGTAAGAAACTTCTACCGTACCGTGAAGACTTGGCGTAGTGATATGTAATTTTTGTAATACTTATAAACAATTGTTAAGTTCATATTCATTTCCAAATAATCTTAAAATTTAGCATTTTAGTTACGCGCAATACTTTTAACATTGAATTATTGTGTTTTGGCTAAAAGATAATCATTTTATTTAAGGACTACTTATTTACTAAATTACTTCCGCTAGCTGTTATAAGGCACAATGTTGACATAGTTGTGCAAGAACATGTTGTGCAAGAATTAGTGTTAAAAGTATATAAACAATGTGTCAGGCAAAACGTAGCATATATAATTGAGAACATGTTATAGCATAACAGCAGGGTTTTAAAAATTAAGCTTTTTCTTGACACCTAGCATCATTGCTAGGCCGCTTTCAAAACAATTAACAATTTTGTTATAAACTAACAAAGTTGCATCTAGGTCTAGCAACCCGTACCAGATTGTCTTTATAACAATTAACCAAAATCAAACACTAATTAAATAATATGCCTGGCAGAGGACGGGGTAGAGGGCGTGGACGAGGGAGAGGAAGGGGACGTGGACGATCTGGTGGTAGAGGAAGGGGTAGATCTGCAGGTAGGCATGTTTTACCTGTAATTGAATAAAGTTTCATTCTACATAAATTAGTTATTATATCTCTATTTGTTGAATAGATCAACTTCATACAGGTAAAATATATAAGAATAGAAATTTTTTTTTCCTGTATAAATCTTGGAAGTGCTGTCAAATTCAGTACAATAGTATGTTAAATCAGGTATGTTAAATATAAAATATTAAATGATCGACATATTTGAGCACTTTTATAGAATCTGTCTGCAGCAAAATTAGAGCTGTCATTGATTCAGTGCAAAGCATATCAACGATATATCGATATCAAGTGACTAAAATCAACGATACACCGATATATCGATCATATCGTATACTCACTTGTCTGTCATTCACTTTCATACCTGTTTCAATGATTTCAGTCAAAAACATGTTCTGTACAGTGGTCCACTGCATGATTTTTCTAGAAAATATTTTTTGTCACCATTGCTATGAAATAATTCAACTATATAACAAAAGCATAACATTAGATATAAATAACTGCTTCTGTATATATTTTGGGTGAATTTTATAATTTCTAGACATTTAATTTATTAGTCAAAAGTATCGATTTTTTAGAATGTGTATCGATTATTGATCGGCAAAAAAATATCAATGATACATCGATATTGTCGATATCGATGACAGCTCTAAGCAAAATCCATGTTTTATAATCCTAACCCTTACCGTTAACCCTAGAAGTAATCTGTGTGATTTTTAGAGAATCATAAACTAATATACATGTAAAATATTGACGAAATAATTTTGTGTAAAAAATGTTGAAAGTGTAGACGAGACATTCTATTTTACAATTCTTTCAAGAATCTATCATAAGGTTAAAGAACCAATAAAATTTTACTGTTGATGAATTTTATATGAAAATTTCAAAAGATATAGCTTTACACCCTTCAAAATATCCAGCATTTTAATGTTAATAAATGTCTTTTTTTTTTTTTTTTTTTTGGAACAAAAATTGATTCCACAAGTCAAAAGCTTCCCAAAAGTTGGCTTAATTTTCCTGATTTCAAGTTTGCTTAAGTTTCCTGATTTCAATATGTATTGGCCTTAACCATGAATTCAAATACTACAGTATAATTGCATTATTTTGATATCAATGTTATATGTTTAGGAGGTAGAGGTGGGTCTAGAGGAGGGTATCAGAATACTGGCTCCAGAGATAACGATGACAATACAAACCAGGTCGTTAAAGATCTAAATGTTAATGATGAGGTAACATCATATTTTGTTGGAAGTGTGTCAGCCGACCAGCACTTTGATGGCCAGGAACAAAACAGGGACAGGTATGCAGCTGGAATGGCGGTACTGGAGAAGAATGGAGTGGATATTGCGATAAGTAAGTATAAGTTTTTGACCCAGATCCAATTTTTTATTCAAAAGAACTTTACTGAAATAATGCTATACATGTATTTAATAAATGCATCAATTATTACATTTCTTTTAAAAATCAAATTGTGACTAAGTTTGTTTTTTGTTTGTTCAATTATATAGATGCCAGAGTAAGGGCATTGGCTGCAGCTTGGGCCAGACATGACTATGACTTAGCAGATGCCTTTCTAAAGAACAAGGAAAACTTTGGTCTCAATGAAGTATTGAAGGCTCTAACACTGCTTGACTCAGGGAGACAGGTTCGAGTCCTAGAAAAGAAAATGAAGAGATTACAAATGTCAGCTGGAAAGGTTAAGCCTAATACCCTGGGCAAGTTGAAGTCAGACATAGACAATTTGAATAAGAATAAGCCTAAGGTGAGTTTAAGTTTTCTTCTACCTGTAATCTGTTACTTCTTTGAGAGAGTTGAGTTTGATTGGATTGCAAGTATGTGATAAAATGATTCGTAATTATGTAGACTGTCATTTCATATATGCTGACATTAATGCATATCTTAGGAATGTTTTAAAGCTTGCATCTCTCCGAAGGTCTCGCTGTCTCAGTTAAGTTAAGTTATTGCATCCAAGTTGGTATTTACAAAACTACTGAAGGGAACAGATTAAAACTCTACACACTTGTTCTCTGTGATTATTTAACATGACGGGCACAACCTTTTTACAGTTTTATGCCACAAATATTTCTCACAAGCATGCTGTCATACTGATAGATCTTGTTTTTACAAATCCTAGACTTGTTGAACTTGAAATATCTATTTGTCAATCTATACAAAACCATTCAACATTAAAAGAGAAAATTTTTCAAAACATATATAGACTTAATAGTTAACAGTGCAGACCATTATTAGATGGCATACATGTGCTTGGTCTGCACTGGTTGCATGGTTGGATTTTATAGCCACCAGCAGGCTGAGTCCATATGAAAATTACAGCTCTTGTAAGATGATACATAATATTTTCTATTTTATCCTTTATTACATAAAGTTACCAGAGCACCTGTCAGAAAATTCCACAGTCCAAGTTGGGTTATAACTTTGTGTTAACAGTTTGATCAAAATGCCTTGTCCTATAATGCTTAGGAAATAGATATCAATTCTGAGTGCATTGTTGTAGAATAATGCACGGTTTGAGTTCAAATGCGTAGTAATATAATCACGAAGGCCGATAGGCCTGAGTGATTAATTACAACGCATTTGAACGAAAAACGTGCATTATTCTACAATAATGCACGAAGAATTAATATCTATTTCCATTCTAACACGTCAAGAAAAAGTATAATTATTATTATAAAGTTGGACTTTATGTTTGGTGGATAAGTTTGTTTTCGCCTCAGAGTTTCCAATAGAAACGTTCTTTAAAGGCTGTTCCAGTGGGTTGAAAAAAACTGTCGTTAAATCTACTGTGTGTAGAAACATTTTGAGAATAACGAATTTTGAAAACGTTGATAAAACTTTGTTTGCTCATTTTATTTCACTCTATAATTTTTCAAGCGAAATACAAATTATTAAAAGTGAAATAAATGTTAAACCTAACTCGTCTGCGATATTAAAAATAACGTACTTGATTTGATTGTTTTGCACGTGCTGTTTGGCGCTACATTGTGACGTCACGTAAACAACACTTTAAACGTCTGTACAGCGTTAACGACTGAATTAAAGATATTGGTGTTCGGATTCATTTTCTTAGTTAGACCATTTTCTATCATTCTAGATAGTTTTCACAACAAAATTCGACAAAAAAATTGTTTTTATTTATCAGATTTTTAAACAAAATGGCGCCCTCAATGTGAAAATATACAGGGAGATAATAAGAACGGCGAGTGCATTGTTGTAGAATAATGCACGCTTCCGGCCTTCTTTGTCTATATAGGAAAATTTCCGATAGTGTTAGAATATAAATTTTATAATGATTGCTCAAACAATAGACGAGAACATCTTATTAAACATCTGTGAACTTAATGATTATTAATTTAGATGAACCATGTTATTTTCAGAATGGAACAGCAAGTGGGGCAGTATGTAAGCATGTTCAGCGATGGGTAAAAAGGTTCACGAAAGAGGAACTAGAGTTTTATGCATTACATTACCCCAAGGAGCCATGGAAAAAACTTGCTGACATATGTCATTTCCATCCAAAGAAGGTAATGCAATTGAAAATGATTAGATTAATCAAGTATATTTGAAGGGTTGTACATGGAAATCAAAGTAATCTACTCATTTGCTTTTGCCTTGTCAATGTTTTCTTGGTACAAGTCCAAGTTCTTAAGATTTTGAAAAATAATATCGTGAAATCTTATTTATCTGGATAGCAAAGCTATGAAAAAAAGAAACAAGATTGGTTTTAAATCTTAAATAATTATTTACATACAATATTTTAGGAATTTCTAACAATAGCAAGCTGGTCTTAATAAATATAAGATGGATCTGCCAAAAAGGGGGAAAGGAACATTGCATTAGGGAACATGTCTGATAAATGGACCTGTCAAAAAGGGAAAGGAACATTGCACTTGGGAACTTTTCTGATAAATGAACCTGTCAAAAAAGGGGAAAGGAACATAGCATTAGCAATCTTGTCTAATAAATGGACCTGTAAAAAGGGAAAGGAACATAGAATTGGGAAAATGGTCTCACAAATTCATATGTTTAAGAGAAAAAAAAGAAACATAGCTGGAAAGCAGTATAATCTATTGATGACTTTATTTACATATACTATTCAAAATACAGAGTCAATATTTATATAAAGTTATAAACTTTTGACATGATATCTACAGCAGAAATATAAGGTCTTTTGAAATGCAAAAATTTTATGAGTTATATTTTATTATTTGTAATTATTACTTTAAAAAAATAGTTTAAAAGAATGCTAGATTAAATCAATTGATTTGTTTACTTCACATATTTTTTACTTTTCATATTTTATTAATAAAAAAAAATTAACACAAACCTGAAGGTATGCTGCTTTCAGATAAAAAGTTTATTTATTGTAATTTTCCATTTTGTAGGACTTTGAAGCACTAGACTGGTTCTTGGATTACTGTTTCGGTGCCCCGGCACCCGAGGGCACAATGGTTCAAAGGTGCCGGGATGTTAGTGATGATAATGTGAATGACTTGATAAAAGAGTTTGACATTCCATATGCACATATCAAACCTAAAGTGACCAATCTTGACAAATTGACCGAGGAATCAAAGGCTAGGATATCTGGTTACGAGGCAAAGTTGGACACTGTTATATGGTAAAAATTTTACCGAATTGTTAAAATATTTTTTTTTTTTTTTTTATTAAATGAAAGGTGTATATGATTATAAAACATAGTTCAACAGTCTAATGTTTACTTTAAAGTTCTCTTTAGTTAGGCTTTACAAAATCTAGTCTCAAATGCATCATGTATTTAGAATTGAACATTCAAGGGAAAAAAAAGAGTAATGACTGCTTTTAGCAAGCTTTTAATGGCTTTGAATTCATTGACCTTCTTCATAATCAAGGATTCAGATCCTGTCAATTTCTTTTTTATTATAAACCTAGTGATACATGTAGATTGACTGTTTTTACATCATGTATTTGATATTGAAATATCTTAAAGCAGCACACCTCCAGATTCATGTTAATTTTCATAAGATATTTTGGAAATGTATTTAAAAGTAAAATAATGGGAGGTAAACAAATAAAGTAATGTGCATATAGCAATCAGCACTTACAATCCACAAAAATTACCAAAAAGTGTTCAGCATAATTATGCAAAAACAGCCCTGCGTTACTTACGGAGTAAAATATGGTGATAAATTCTGCAAAATCAGTCTTAAACCTACATAACATGTAAAATAAAGTTTGGATCTTGAATGTTTTGACTTTCTTAAAAGTTTAGTGCACTGTTCTCAATATTGGTTTTCTTGAAATATTTTGGCTCATCTGTGTGCAGCTTTAAACTTTGAATGCATTTTTTCATATTTAAAGCTGGACAAGTGCTGTTCATGCATTCAAAGAGTTAAGGGGTAGTTTCAATGTTCATTATATGAGCCGTGTCACGACAAAACCAACACAGTGGGTTTGCGACCAGCATGGATCCAGACCAGCCTGCGCCTCCGTGCAGTCTGATCAGGATCCATGCTGTTTGCTATCAGTTTCTCTACTTGTTATACGGTTTGTAAGCGAACAGAATGGATCCTGATTAGACTGCGCAGATGCGCAGGCTGGTCTGGATCCATGCTTTTAATATGTTGGTTTTATTGTGACATAGCTCATATAACCTTTTTATTTTATCAACAGGTGGTACGAAGAATTAAAGTGTTCTGCAGTAGATGAAGTTATACAAAAACGAATCGACTCAGGGGAGACAATCAATCTACCAAACGGGAAGTTACTAGAAAGATTACTGGTCCTTAAAATGTACAGGGAAAATATAACAGCCAGTCGTTCTTATTATAGTGGCAATTCAGACAGTACGGAGAAACGGACGGCAGATGAAACAAAAGCACCATTCTTCAAACAACTCGTACCACTTGCTCAGAAGAAAATGGAGGGAATAAGGTAATAAAGATTGTTGCAAATTGTGTATACATGTTGCTTTATGTTATTTGCTTTGTCATATGGTTGTATACATAATGGTTGTTAACAGTCTCAAGATCTTATATACATCTTATGTATAGCAACATTTCTTAATTAATTTCTTTAAAGATATACTATGCTCATCCTTGAGTAAAATATTTTAATCATAGAAATTTATTGAAATCTATAAAATTCTTACTGAATATGTCTCATTTGAAAAAAAAATTGAATAAACTATGCATCTAAGCTACATTTTACCATTACAGGTTAAGTAAAGTTGGTCTTTTCTTAAAAAAAAAACTTCCAGTTTTTTTAATGACACTATATATTCATATTGTGACCACCTTTAGTGTGTAGAATTTTAAACATAACGTATCTATATATCTACTTTGTGCGAGCTCAAAACATGTTTATTTATGTTAACAAAGAGACTGTGTAGCAATTACTTATATTTTATAATATCAAATTTGAGCATAGTATATCTTTAACCTTTGTCTCCCAAACGATGATGCTCTGCACAGGTGGTGTTGTAATTTAAAAGTGCATTATGGGTAATGTGTCAATTCTGTTTTCAGTCTGTCCCTAGAGTCGCCAATAGTCGTCATTGGAGATGCGTCCGGTTCAATGCAGGTTGCGGTGCGAACAAGTACGATTATTGCGGGACTTTTGACTGCTATAACATCGGCAAAACTCTGCTTCTTTAACACAGAAAACAGATACGCTCCATATCTACCTAAAAATATTGAAGAGGTAAATAGTAGCAGAATTAAATATGATAACATGTAATAAGTCTGCGATTTTTTAGTTGCAGCTCTCTATTTTAACTAATCATTGCGAGTAGAAAGGGAAGGGTTCAAATCACACCAATAATTTAATGACATGCCATACAATGTATCGACTTTAGATCTTTTTTCTGGGTTGGAGCCATATTCTGATCATAGCCATGTTGTTTTCTTTCATTATCATTCGAAACAAATACTGATTAGTTCCAGTAAGTGGTCTCTAAATTTGTTAATCTAACAGTTTGGTGACACTTCATAATAAGCTAAAAGAAATATGTTTTAAATACGTTGTTTTTTGAATTTGTTTAACATCAAACATTTTTAGTGTTTACTGATCAGATTTTCTTATTTCATGATAGGTTCTTCAGCTAGCTGTAGACACACAAGCTGGAGGGGGCACAACTCCAGCTGCTAGCTTGTGGCCGTTCTATGAAAAGAAAGAAGTTGTTAAAACATTTATAATGGTCACAGATGAGGAGGAAAATGGAAATTGTCAAGGATTCAGGTAAATTAATGCGTTTGCGACCAGCATGGATCCAGACCAGCCTGCGCATTCGCGCAGTCTGATCAGGATCCATGCTGTTCGCTATCAGTTTCTCTACTTGTTATACGGTTTGTAAGCGAACAGCATGAATCCTGAGCAGACTGCGCAGATGCGCAGGCTGGTCTGGATCCATGCTGGTTGCAAACATATTATGTTGGTTTTGCCATGACGTGGCTCAATTATCTCAGTTTTTTGTGATCCATGCTCAGTCATAGCTGACATTGATGATAGGGCGTAATGCTATAACTTGCAGTATACTTTAAAAAAATTAAAAAGAAATTAAAGAAAACTGTACTTTTATCATAACTGACTAATCAAGTTTGATGCTGCTTTCTCAATCAAGCTTAAAAAGTTTTTAGTGTGTGTTTTCTTTACACTGATTTCAACTCATTTTGGTCATAACGTGCCTAACTGGCTTTTCTTGATAACCAACCAGTATTTACCAATTTCTCAAGAATTTTTGGTGAGAGACAATTGAGCCACGTCATGACAAAACCATCGTAGTACGTTTGCGACCAGCATGGATCCAGACCAGCCTGCGCATCCGCGCAGTCTGATCAGGATCCATGCTGTTCGCTTACCAACTCTATTACAAGTAGAGAAACTGATAGCCAACAGCATGGATCCTGATCAGACTGCTCGGATGCGCAGGCTGGTCTGGATCCATGCTGTTCGCAAACCCACTATGTTGATTTGATAGTGTTTCAATAAGCTTATAGCTTCCAACACAATCGAACTAAAATAAATTTGTATAAATTAAGGAGAAGTTTCTCCTTACTTGAGCCACCCCAGGATTACAAAATACAATGTAGATAATCCTTATACTATTATAAAAGAGATGAAAAAAAAGGAATATAATGATAATCATATTTACAGTATTCTCAGATTTTTCATTGTTTTGCTTCCAGGTTTCACGAATTGTTCAAGAAGTATCACGAAGAGGTCTATCCGGCTAAGCTGGTTTTCGTGTCATTCTTCTCCTACCAGCAGTCCAAAGGTCACATGGTACCTAAATTAGAGGAACTTGGATTTAAACCGCTGAGATTCGTTTTCGACCTCAATCGTCCAGACTTGACAAAACTGGACAAATTGTTTGGTATGCTGGCCACAGGAACGTCCAGCTTCAATGACGAGATTGCAGAAATGGAAGATATCATCAAGACAAAAGGAATTGCCAAGGCGTTTGATAGTTTAACATTATAAGAGGGCAGTTTTTATATATAAAAAAAAAAATGTGTTAAGGATATGAAAGCAAAATTCTAAATAATCTGTTAACTCCATGACATGGAAAATATTATCAAGATGAAAGCTGATAATAAATAGATTCCTACTTGACCAAGAAACATTGAGTAAAATGATAAAATGTTACTTGAAACAGATTAGGGTTATGTAAGGATCTTTGTAGAGCTGTCATCGATAAAGACGATATCAATGTATCTTTGATATATTTCTATTACAGATTCACATTTGAAAAAAAATGTCTCAACTTAGCTGTTGTTACATAATGGACACATTTCATAGCATTAAAGACAAAAAATGGTCAGAAAAAAACAAAAAAACATCCAAAATACATTTATAAACAAGACACAACATATCTGTATGAACAGAACATGTATTTTACCGAAATCATTTAAACAGGTATGAAAATGAATTATGTACAAGAAATTAAGAGTATATATCAGTGTATCGTGTATCCCTTATATTTGTCATACAATATGGATGTATAGTCAGTAATCAATGACAGCTCTAGATCTATGCATCTAGCAATATAAGAGACAAAGTTTCATTTATGAACAAATGTTGTGATATGAGAGGAGAATTTCAAAGATTTTTTAAAACCTATAACAGGGTGGTGAGCTTTTGTGATCTCTTTTCGTCCGGCGTCCGTCCGTCGTCCATCCGTAAACTTTTACTTTAAATGACATCACCACTTAGCCAATTTCGTACAAATTTCACAGCAAAGTTCCTTTGGTGATCACCTTTTAAAATTGTTCAAAGAATTTAATTCCATGCTGAGCTCTGGTTGCCATGGCAACCGAAAGAAAAAACTTTAAATATCTTCTTTTAAAAAACCATAAGAGCTAGAGCTTAGATATTTGGCATGAAACATCTTCTAGTGAGTGTCTACCAAGTTTGTTAAAAAAAAAGCCCGGGGGTCAAAATTGGCCTCGCCCCGGGGGGTCATTGATTTTCCCTATATGCATATAGTAAAAACTAAAAAAATCTTCTTTTAAAGAACCCAAAGAGCTAGAGCTAAGATATTTAGCATGAAACATGTTCTATGGCTATGGCTAAGATATTGAGCATCAAACATGTTCTAATAGGTGTCTACCAAATAAAGCCCTGGGGTCAAAATTGGCCCCGCCCCAGGGGGTCATTGATTTTATATATATGCATATAGTAAAAACTTAAAAAATCTTCTTTTAAAGAACCAAAAGAGTTAGAGCTAAGATATTTAGCATGAAACATGTTCTAATAAGTGTCTACCAAGTTTGTTCAAATAAAAGCCCTGGGGTCAAAATTGGCCCCGCCCCGGGGGGTCATTGATTTTCCCTATATGCATATAGTAAAAACTTAAAAAGTCTTCTTTTAAAGAACTCAAAGAGCTATGGCTAAGATATTTAGCATCAAACATGTTCTAATAGGTGTCTACCAAGTTTGTTCAAATAAAAGCCCTGGGGTCAAAATTGGCACCGCCCCGGGGGTCATTGATTTTCCTTATATGTGTAAAGCAAAAACTTAAAAAATCTTCTTTGAAAAAACCCAAATAGCTGGAGTTTAGATATTAAGTATGAAACATCTTCTAGTAAGTGTCTACAAAGTTTGTTCAAATAAAAGCCCTGGGGTCAAAACTGGCCCGGCCCAAGGGGTGTCATTGTTTTTAACTATATGTGTATAGTAAAAACTTAAAAAAAATCTTCTTTAAAAAAGCCCAATGAGCTAGAGCTTAGATGTTTAGCATGAAACATCTTCTTACGGGTGTCTACCAAGTTTGTACAAATAAAAGCCCTTGAGTTAAATTGGCCCTGCCAACGTTGGGGGGGGGGGGCCTATATACAGGTGAGCGACCTCAGGGCCATCATGGCCCTCTTTTTTTTTTTTTTTTTTTTTTTTTTTTTCAGTTTCGGGGCGCCCAGTTAAGGGGTAACCCCATTTATTTTCCCCGTCATTGGCATAATAGGGGTCGAGGAGCATCCTCCTATCAGCCTTACAATAATACAAGTATATATATTTGATTTCTTACAAAATAAGAATCATTATAGATAATGTGAAAAATATACAATTCGCAAACGTTTCATTTACTTGTCCGAAAAGCGAAAAATGACAAGGTTGAAAAGCGAGTTAACTCTTTATGAATTAAATCTATAATTTCACTTAAGTTGCTTCCCATATATTAAAGGTAATATTCATACAAATTACAAATATTTTAAAAATTCTGTCACTGAATCGTTTTTATTTCTACATTTGTATTCAAATTGGTATTTTATATCATTGAACAAATTTCTTAACAAAATAGGTATTGGTTGATATAAATAATTATGCTTACAATTGTTACGATATTTCCATATTGCCCATTTGGTTTCGAATATAACAGTATTGATCAATTTATCATTCATTGCGTGTTCAAAAGATCCAAAAAGTGCAGTAGATTGGAAATTTGAAAAATCATTTTCCAAAATTTTAGCGGACTTAAGTTTTTGAATTACATATGTCCAAACATTCTTAGAAAAATCACATTCCCAGAAGAGATGAAACAGAGTTTCTCTGTGAGATTTACATATACAACATTTACCGTCAGATAAATTCATAAGAGACAGCTTGTGTTCTGTATAAATAACATTGTGTAAAAATTTCCACTGAAATTGTACAGCTTTGCATGAAGAAAAAGAATCATAAACGTGGCACCATATTTTACTCCATGGTAACTCCATATTAAGTAGGGTTTCCCATTTACTTTCACTTTTTAATTTACCAGTCTTTTGATTCCATATATGAGATATTTGTTTTATTTTAATATTTTCAGGCAATATTTTTGTTTGCGTCTTGCTCGTTAAGACAATATCATCTAAGTGAGTGTAATTCGACACTGTTTCATAATGATGTTCTTGGCCCTCTTGTTTGATATGGCATAATATTTAATATTGCTAATGTATGTTTTTAGAGATTAAAATATATTTATTTATTGATTGATTTATTAACTCAGTAGATGTTAGTAATATGTTTATGAAAAGAAACTTGTAATTTTAGAAGTTGTTTATTTAGATATATAAAAATAAAGTTTTAGCTTGTCTGTTTCAAAGAAAAAGTAGAAAAAAAAGTAAAAAGAAAGTAAGTCATGCCATAGAAATACAATGATAAATGCTGCAAAATTAGTGTTTGTTATGGCACAACATATGTTAATTATCTTTTGAATCATAGATATTTTTACTTTTCTTAAAATGTAAGTATATTTTTATCAAGTTTGTCTTTCTTGAAACATTTTGGCTTATCTGGAGGCATGCAGCTGTAAAAGTTATCAAAATGAAACTTAGAATACTTGCTTATCTGGGTAAACTTAAGTTGCAGTTGTTTTACAAATGGTAAAATGTTGGAGTTATGCCCAATTATAACATTAAATTTTAAATATTTTCCCTAAAAATGATCATTGGTATTGCCAAGATGGGCTGTTAATTTGTGATCTTTATTGTGATAAAGGTTAATATAATTAAAACACATGTTGTATGTGTTGTACTGCCAGACACAACATGTTCCTGAAGCAACTGGATAATATTTGGTGCCAAGCCATTTAACAGGGAATCTAGCTAATGAAAACTTAACATTTCAGACAAAGGTGTTAGGGAATAACGTCATGCAAAATTCCACGATCATCTGCTAGAATATGACCAAAATTGTATTAAAATTAGCATAAAAAAATGGGAAAACAACAAAACATTCCAAAAAAAACAATATATTACATTTATTTAGAAGTGAACCTTTTTAACGCTCATGTTTTTATTATTGTTGTTGTTATTGTCGCATTTTATGATGGATATTTTCATAGATTTTGTTGCCATGTAGATTTCATAAACCATATTACATGTATACTAGTTTTCATGATGAAAATGAAGAAAAAAGTGTACTTAATAATAGTGTCAGTGTTGTTTAACTTTGCTTTGTTCTAGGTCATTATTATTAATATTAATATTTTGTGATATCATATTGTTTGTCTGTTATTGAATTATTATTTTATCAATAAATTCAACAAGTGCAAATAGATATTTTACATTTTACATACTAATTTTATTATACAAATTTGTTTAGATATTTTACAAGATTATTGTTTTAATTGCACATATTATTATTATTATTATTATTATATTATGTAGATTCATTGTCTTTCCACTTTTACATACTTATTACATTATGACTATCAATTAATAAACTTACATGATAAAATAGTTGTTTATTTATAGTAACATAACTACATGTATCCACCTTCGATATTTAGCTCGTCTGTTTTGAAGAAACTTTTATGATTGCTGTGTCTCCATCGTTATTGTCATCCTGCAATAGTATAATATGTAGTTCATTATTCAAACATTTTAAAAGTTATCAACATGAAAATTTGTGAACACCAGTTTATCATGACAAAAATGCAGTTGTTCAGACAAGAGGCATAATTCGGAAAGCTACATTTTTTGGAGTTATGTCCCTTTTCAACTAAGAATTTTTGTCAAAATTGATTGACCTTGACAGATGAGCGTTAACATCGAATGCGGTGCTCTTGTTTTAAATCAATCTACATTTGTGCATACCATCTATGTATATTTATTAATTACCTTATCGCATTTACAGTTATGGGACGAAAAATTCGTGTTTTTACATTATATTATTAAGGGTATTTTGATATATACATGTAACATGTGATAATTTTGTATTATACAAAACCTTAGTTTAATTATGATTTATTTAATGACAAGTTTATATTAAATAGCACAACGTATTCCTGTGTTTGTTGTTTTATTTATCGTCAATGACTGTAAAGTTTAAAGGGTAGAAATATATATCTTATGAAATATTTTGAAAAAAATTATCAACAGTAAAATTGTATTGGTTCCATTATTATATGGTTGATTCCTGAAAAAGTTGTAACATAAAATGTCTCTGTTATGTATTACACATGAATTATGTATGTAAACAGCAGGAACAAAATATTATTTTGCTATTTTATGTAGAGTTTTATCCATTTAGCAATGATTTTGTGTATGTGCCATTCGCTTTTAAGCAATATATTATCATATTTATTCCATACACGCATTTTGGAAGTATACTTTTTAAATTTAAACAATAATTTTTGTATCAGATATATATAGCTTTATACACTTAAAAGCACTTTTCCTTGGCTGATGTAATATTGAATCCTTGAAGACAGATGAGACAGTCATATAACCGGTTTGTCAGTGCTTCATCTTAAAGACCTGAAATTCCTGAATATTTATGAATAAATAATGTATTTATATAATATGATTGTGTTTAATTGACGTTACCAAAATTGCTATAACTATCTTTAGTTAAAAGGAGACACAGGCAAAATTTTCAGGACTTCGTTTTGAATTTTTCATTAATTTTCTTGTAAATCTACTGTAAATGTATACACTAGGCAGTCAAAGGAACACAACTTTTCTCCTTATAAAGACTAAAATGGTCCGCGTGGGTGAGGTTAGAGCGTTAAGATTTCACAATAGTTGTCACAGTAAACTCTGGTAAGGTTAAAGAACATGTCAAATGAATGACATACTTGCTTCAATCATACAATGATATTGTAACTTCCATGGTTTGTTCAAGGCACATGACTTATTTTAAAA